AAAACTCTTTCACAAATACACATTGTTCATTTTCCCATGTTGGAGGTTTATCTCAAACTAGCTAACAAATGTCTCTAACATGTACTGTGCTGGCCAAAGATGTATCCTCTGAAGCCCAGGATTGCATGCAGCCCCTAAAGATCTTGAGGGGGACTTACCCACGGCACTTCCAAATATTGTCACCCAATTATCATGTGACCTAAAAGGAAAATTATTATATATATGGAAATAGTCACATGAAATACATTAAACTTAAATCAGATTTTGTTCTGATTAAAAAAAACAAAAACAAAAAACAAACTTGGTTTCATTTCCTTGGTATACTATCAGATGCTAAATGTGACCCATGATATAGGCTATATTTATCAGTTTACTATATTGGTTCTTGGTATGGAATTTTGAGCGGATGAAGAAAATCAGAACTTATTTTATACATGGAAAAAAAAAGTAAGCTTCATCTTATAGTGGTACGGCAATTAAGGTTCTCACAGTTAAGTCTATTCTATTTGGCTTGACTTTCTGATGATAAATAAGTAGGGGTTGATATTGCTTTTGATTTTTCAAGTTTATTTTCTTCTCCACTGCTCTGGCTAATCATAGAGATCATTTGACTTTTAGTTACTTTTAGATATTCTACTAATTTTTAACACTTGGGAATTCGAGAGTTTAAATGTGAGATGTTCTGTTTTACCTCCAATTTAACAAGTGCTTCCACAGGGTTGTACCTAGTTTTACTCTGGTATACCTAGTTATAACCATTTGGGTATGATGTACTTATTGTATTTATGTAGAAAGACACTTTAAAAAAATGTGTATCCAATTATAGTAGTAGTAGATGGAAAAAAAAAAGTTCCAGTGCCTCTAAAACTCTAGGCCTTCATAAGACCATGTGGAACACCATAATGTATGAAATAATATAGCAGTTGGCATTTAATGCAGGCATATTTTATTTATTTATTTTATTCAATTTGTATAGCCGCTCATCTCAAACAGTGACTCTGGGCGGTGAACAATCATAAAATCAATTAAACCAATTAAAAACACAATATAAAAAGAAAAAAATAAATACATATAGCAGCCAAGAAATATTATAATCCATAGGTGTTAGCATAACCAGGAAACGGGGCCCTTCACACATATTATGATGAACCACTTCAGTTTCCTATGGGATACAGGACTAACCAGCCCCAACCAGTATCTAAGGTAAATCATAATTTAAGAAAATATATTAAATCATGGATTTTCTGTTGCACTAACCCTCCTCAACTTGATGCTTTCCAGAGGTGTTAGACTACATCATTCCTGCTAGCAACAGGAACTGTAGTTCAATATCTCTCAAAAGTACCAGATTAGGGAAGGTATGTGTACAATGTAACTTACAGTATGTAATGTGCTTGTGTGAGAGAGCAAGAGATAGAGAGAAAGAAACAAAGAAAGAAACCTGTGTTGATATTCTTTGTTTCTCTTGCTTGGAAGGGAATTGGGATTTGTACTAGCATCACTGATGTTTTAAACTTCTTTAGTGTAGATTACAGTAGCAGTAATGAAACATTCAGAAAGTGGTCTTTTGCTTTTCTTAATAAATGTAGTCATCTAAGACAATTAGTTTTAATATATTCACAAATAATTCAGTTTTCATTAAATAAAATAACAGATACCAGGGAGTGGCCTCATATCAATAGTTGTGTCTAAAGTCACATGTACAAGGTAAACTAAGGAGGGAACATAATCCTTGTGAGAGAAATTGTGACATTATTAAACTGAGAGATTATGGGAGGGGAAAAGCAGGTGTTAACAGAAAACTGTTGTTGAAACTTGATTTAAATGTATTCCTGATTTTTTTCTTTCCATGAGTAAGTCATCAGAAATCTTAATTTAAGAAACATTATTTCATTGCCTTTCAGCAAAAAGGTCCAAATCTAAATTGTGTGTTTGCATACATTGTTATATGAGTACATACTCTATCCATAAATATTACCTTAATTCTGCAAACATATACATTTGCTGCTCCTGGAGAAATCCTTCCCCTGCCCTCCCCACATAAAGAGCACAAAAGTGAAGATTCTGCAGTTAAATTTTGCTTCAATGAAGTAGTAGGATTCCTTCACTGAATATTCAGTTTTAAAAAAAAAAATTTAATTACCTGTTATTTTCTAGCTTGAAAAACATCAGGATCACATGGGAAGAAGCAGATACCATTGCAGTGGACTGACATTTTGGAGAAATCTGTTATTCAATGTGCTGTACAGTACAAGAGGACCTAGCCTAATTTCTAGCATATTTACTTCTGTGGTGTGGAAGTAAACTATCGCCCCACATTTCAGGCCTATGACAAAGTTACCCATTTAAGCAAATTAAATTACTTCCTTATCAAAATGGAGCTATCATATGTAGTGCTTATGCTGGAGGACTAGGAATGGAGAGTCCCAAATTGAAATCTATTTTTAGTCACTAAATAACCTATGGTTAATTACCCAGTTCAGGGTGATTGCTGGGGAAAATTGAAGGACATACATCATACCAAGCTCCTATAATTTAGTTATGTTTCTCTTTGACATTTATTCTTAAGGTATTTCTTCTTCTGATGTGCACTAGACTTGTAATGTTCTAAAATTGTTTTGCAGTTCAAGCTAGGGATTGCATTCTGGGGCAAGTGCCAACTTATGTCTCTAATACCTTTGTTTATGTATTTTTCCAGGACGTCATTGTTGGCAGTCTAATTTCCTTATTTTTGACTGCTGTTGCTTGTCCTACCTGGGATTTCGTGGACCACTTGATGCTCACCAACCCCTTATGTCCAGCATTCTGCATCACTGTGCCCCTCTTCTTATGCTACAATTATCCCAAACTAGATTATTATAGCCCAACTAGAGCAGATACCACCACTATTCTAGGAGCCGCTGCAGGAGCAATTATAGGGTTTTGGGTAAATAATCGCTATGTTTCAAATGCTTCATCTGAAGATATCACATACAGTGTTTCTTCCAACATTAGTGAAATTATCTTGCTAGTGCTTGCAAAATTTTTAGTGGGGATTGGTGTACTAATGGTCACACGCCAGATTGCCAAAACCATAGCTTGCAAGTCATTATGTTCTTGGCACAAGGTTTCTAGTAGTGATGTTGTAGCTATGCAGCAAATAAAAATTGAAGTGCCCTATAAATTTATAACCTATTCTTCTATTGGTCTGAGTGCTACGGTGTTTGTGCCCCTACTATATATATTTTTGGGTTTAAATTGAATGCTATGCATTTGTTTTTTGAAATTGCCCATATTATAGACTGCAGATTAAAAAGATTTGCAGTAGTAAAGTTGGGGGGTGGGGTGGGGATGGAATGCTGTGCCTTTTGCATAAATTCTGTAGCACTGCTAATATTGGAGACCTAAAGATAGATTCTAGTCAGTCTAGTATTCAGATGGTCACAGACCAAAAAAGAACAACAAACAAACAAACAAAAATCATAAATGGCATCTCATTTTATGTATATTGATATGTTATTGCTGAGAATTTCCAGCTTTGCAAGTTTTCATTGAGGGAAACCAAATATAGTACAGTATCAGTCTTCAACAGTTTTTTAAACATGTGTGACTGGGAATAAATACACTGTATGATCTGCCTTGGTAGGGACATGTTGCAGTATTACTCTAGGGTTTAAATGACCACCCCAGCCCCCAACTTAACCTTTTATCTTACATACCATAAGAATACAGATTTGAACTTTCATTTTTGTCAGCTTCGTATTTTGAATAGCAAGGTTTCTGTAAGATACTGATTGTGTGAAGACATAATATTCTTATATCAAAATAGACATTTCTCAGGAATGTAGCAGTGATAGCATAACAGAAGCAGCATTGTGCATTGCAGTGCTAAAATAAGAGAAAACCAGTAAATAGTGAAAGTACTGAATTGCTCCTGCTCAATCAAGCTCTAAACATGATAGATGAGCAAGATTGGGTGAGGAGAATAGTTACATGAAAGAATGTATGGAAACTGGAGTAGTGTTACTAGCCAATTATTCCTTGTATTCTCACAGTGGGAGCTGAATACAGTAAAACTTCCATTTCACAGATTTTGGTTTAACAGATTCTAGATATAACAATTTTTTTGTTTGGACTTCACCTTCATTTACTTATATCACTAATGTGATGTAATTACATAAATAATGTAAACTGGCATAAATTGGAATTTAATGGACATTTGAAGGATATGTTAAATCAAGGTTTTATTTTAATGACCAATATGTTATTGAATTAAGTAGGGAAATTCTATTTAAAATAGATTTCTGAACTGTAAGTTGTCTTCCCAATACCTTTAGATTTGTTTACAGAACAGTTTATATGAATAGCATCTATTGTATGCTGTTCAACAAGACTGCATGTATATGTTCAGATTTATAAACTGTACAATTTCTATTTTTGTATCATTTTACTGTAAGGCATGAAATATATAATCTGAAAAAATACTGTTGCTGCATTCAAATTATGTGTTTCTAGTTTTTTTTTTAATTAAAGCATATGTCATGTATCTATGTCTGCAGTATATGGTATAGCAAGAGATTATTTCAGAATATAAATACCAAATGCTCTTAGCAGGGAAGCACTACCAAGTGCAGTATTTTCTGGTTATATTTGTAGTTCATGTCAGATCTGAATTAAAATGTCATAACAAGACTGCGTACAAACATACAGCGCTAGACTACTGAAACCTAGATCATTTGCTCATGATTAACATTTATAGCAGACATATGTATCTTATGACCTTGCCTCTATTAACTTGATCGCTCCATCCAAGATGATCTAAAAGGTAGAGGTAATGGGAGTTCATTTAACAAGTGAGATACTCAGCATAATCAGTAGTGTCCTTTTTTAGTAGTGTCCCGTCAGCATAATCAGTTTTGTTTCAATTCCTTGTAATCTCATCACTACTAAAACTAGCCCAGAATGGGGGTTTACTTAAGATCAGTAGGTGTGCATTTTTTTTTCATCAAAAGACTTATTTACTCAATATGAAATTCTGAAAGAAATTACCATCATGTCTAAAAGACAAAGAATATCTTTTGGGCATTTGCAAATTACATACAAATGACAGAGCTTTCTCATTTTATTTTCTTCATTGGCGGTACAAGAAAAAGCAGAGTCAATAGATAGTTTACTCTGTAACACGTAGATGCTTGTAGTTGCCTCCACTACAACTCGGGTAAATAAGCAGGCAAATACATTTATTTTGATCCCATTTTTAGTAGAATAAAATAATTTATAGTATAACTACTATGGGGAAAAAAAACAAATTTGTTCCAGCTTGCAAGAAACATATGTTTCTAACCAGGAAAAATCTAACCCCTCCATTTAGTTCACATTTACTATAAATTAAACTATTTGGAGCAGCCATAATCAGTTAACAGCCTACATTTTAATCTCAGAAACTATTTGAGAAAAAAGTAATTTATTTAGCCAATACATATTTATGATAATTGATTGAACTTTGCCTTGTTTTTTTAAAAAGGGTGATGTCTTGAACTGTTAAAAAGAGCCTTTAGCTGGTTACCCAAACCTTCCTTATTACATTAAGAAACATTTTTAAAGCCTAATATACCATTGGTTTAATCCTTTCAAGTACAGACAACTGCTAGGCAGTAGCAAGACAAAATAAAATGCAGAATGAAGGTAGACTAAAGGAAGATTTTCTTCTTACATGAAAGGCTCAATTGCAATTTCTAGAGCAGAACAGGGCATGGTGAGCTCAAATTTGGTGACAACATCAGGATGAAGAACTCCCAAGTTCCCAATGCTCTGCCCTCTGGCAAAGATCTCAGCACAACGGCCAGGGAAGAAAGCAGGCTCTGAAAACAAATAAAGGGGAGATGGAATTAGTATTTCCAGGAATAAACAGAAACCAGAGAGAAACTATCAAAGAGCAACTTAGATAATTTCAGCTGGAATTGTTGCCAACCAATGAAAAATGGCTTCCCATTGTATAGCGTTAACAGAATTGAGCTATGTAAGGAAAAAAACCCATTTGAAAAGTCAAGCCTTTTTAAGAAGTAAACTTATTTCATATTTTAAACAATTTGGAAACAGTTTTGCCAGGAGTCCAAAATCTGCTTAAAATTCAAATCTATATTTTCAACACAAGGTGTCAAAGTAGTTGATTAAAAAATTAAAACTTTTAATTAATAGATATAATTAGGCTACAGATTCAAATCATTACAACTAAAGTACCTGTATTATATCCCCACTTATTAAGTGCCTGCCTTTTTTCTCACAGTCATCTCAATAGAATTTCATCATTTAATGCTGTTGTAAACTTTTCATGTAATATAGCTCCCATGTGAGGAAATACTGTTATGAAGAAATATCCACAGGATTCCATTTCAAGCAAAAGCTTTGTGAAATTAATCTGAAAACTTTATTAGATTAATAACCTATGGATATGAATTATAAGGTATGTGGGTCACAATTACACTGCCTGGGATGTGTCACCCTAAAACATTATCTATCCATCTGTCTGTCTGTCTCTCTGTCTATCTATCTCACATCGCATTTGTGAAGGACCTTATTATCACCAGGCTTAACAAAGGCTACATTATAGTTCATATTGCCACATTCTGAGATTTTTCAGTTGTATTGCCCTGTAAAGTCATGCACAAGTCGGGGGGGGGGCTATGTATCAAATATCCTCAAAGTTTCACTAGATGCAGGAGTACTAAAATCACTAGTTTTAAACCCAGCTCAATTAGTACAAGAGGCCTAAGAAGTATTTAAAAGAAGCAGCAGCTAGTGTATTAGAAAAAGCTTCCATAAATTATCCCAAGCTTAGTGGATCAGCAATAATCTCATAGGACACTGAGCCTATCTCTCAAATGTATACCTGCAAAAACAGCATGGTGTGAGCAGATGAATTACAGCAATACCATTTTATTCAGATTTAGGGAGTCTGCCATAAGAGAAAAGACACTGAACTGAAAGACATAAGGTCAATATAAAATATCATAGTTCTCACTATTACATCTCGCTCACACATGCACATGGACAGACTTGGAAATACATTACTTTAAAACCTACCTAATACAGTGCAAGACAGGCTGGAGGAATCTCTTTTCATAGCTTAGCTACACTTATTTAAAAGTTTGATTGCAGTATTCTCTTAGGTCTCTATCACTTTACAAAGAGCAATTACATATCTGAATATTTTATATGAATAAAACTATCATGGAAAGCTAATTTCTCAGCAAAAATGTTCCTCCCTTCACAACAGAACATGCATGCCAAAGGCAGTCTGTGCTAGCAGACTGCCATAAAAATTAGTATGAAAATAGGAATTAATCAAGGCGGGTATGCATAGTGTATTTCTCACTGGTAAGAACTTTTTCTCTACTATATTTGACTATCAATTTATCTTTTTGGGGAGAAATAAAAAATGCATGCACCTCAGAATGCATTGGCATAACATAGTATGGATGGGCAAAACTGTCAATACACAAGAGTTGTTTTAAGGATCATATTATGTATACCCAACTTCTGTTAAAGTTACATGAACTAAAATTCTCCCACTGCTATAAAGAATGCTCCTTAATGAATCAAAAACCTGATTTTATTAATCTTGAAAAATTTCAGTTTCAAATACAAACATAAAATAGCCTATGTGAAAGAAAATCTTCAGCCCAATGGCATCTGGCTTCCTAACTAGGTTGTAGCAGACATCTGGCCGTATATGTTTTCAATATATTAATAGGAATTTAGTTCTATATGAATGCACATAGGATTCAAGCCCCAGTCTAGTAGTTAGGGTCAGCAAACATGTAAGTTCCTGTTACAAGAAAGCTCCCTGTGAACAAGTGCACATAAAATGTTATCTTCCACAGTAAAAAAAATCTGCAAACTATACCAAATCTTTTCCAGCTAACTACTGTATTTTGTTGGTTCCTATAGGGGTTCCATCCTATAGTCAAACAATATCTGGGGACCCAAGGTTGGGAATCACTAAACTATAGAATGAGATCTGTTGGCAAGTATATCTAACAGGACAAAATTGCATTATAAGTTACGTGATGCAATAAAAGATGACAGAATCATACAAAAATATACATATTAAACTCTACTTTGAAGCCCATAAAATTAAGATCTTACTACATGCTTTTAAACTACCAAATGTCTCAAGGAATCCAAAAGAGGAGACTAAATTTGAAAGTATATGAGCACTATAAAAGATAATTAAGAAAGGTAAATTACAAACTATTTGATGACTTCGGATAAACATATATGCATTCTGAAAATAGCACCTCTAAGACTTTTAAAACCCATAGGAATACAACTTCCAAACAAGAAACTAAAATCAACGATCCTTAGTAAGAAAACAATTTCTGAAACACTTTGAGGTTCAAAGAATTCTGTTATTAAAGCTTTTATTTTATGTCCCTAAGAACTGATAATTGTCTTTGTGTTCCAACTGCAAGACTGCTTTGATTATTCAGGGCATCTCTCTTTGGCCACTAATCCAATGGAAAACCTGGTCTTTAGCCTATTTTCTGGCTAATTGACCTTCAAAGAGCTTGTTGAATTCTCAGTGTGCTTTACTGTCAAATACCTTATACATGGCTTCTTTTCTCTATCTAACTCCTTTTCATATTTGGAGTGAAAAGATTAAAGAAATGATATAGGATCAGAGTTAGCATAAGCTTTAAAGGCTATACCAATTCAACTCATAGTTTGAAAACAGTAAGTAAACAAATATTAGATGTCAGTGCTTCAGTAACCAAGAGGAAGGAACTATGCTATCCAGCATGACTATTAAAGGCTCAGTCCAAATATTCCAAGAGTTAATGTTTATTATCTTAACACGAAATGGAAGAAATCTTACTACTCATTGATCAGACCATGGTGTACTTGTAAATCAGACTGCATCAAGCCTAAAAAAAATTAACGCCTTTTCCAGGAAATATAGAGAAATCTTTTTTCTGAATTTATGGAAGGTTAGTATAATCTAATTGCCCAAGTTACAAATATGTAGAAACTGGAGCTTGGAAGCAAAGTATAAACATCAAACATTTTGAAATATATGAGAAGAGAACCTCAAAATGCCAAATACACTATAAAATTATTTTATTTGTTTATTGCTGAAATTTATAAAGCTGCCAAATTCAAACAATGTGACTCTGGGTGGCATAACACATAAAAAATGAATAATAAATTAAAACAAAACAAAAAACCCACCAAACCCACCATACACAGTATATTAAACATATACAATATATAAATATAAAACGATAACCAAGCAACATAACAAAACAACCAAAAGGGGACTCTCACTCAACTGGACCCTAATGCCTGGGGGAAGAACCAGGTCTTAACAGCTTTCCTAAAAGTAATAGAGTTATATATTGAAGGGGGTGTGGGGATCATTCCAGAGAACAGGGCAACCACAGAAAAGGTATCCTTTCTTGAAGATAAAATAATTACTTATAATTTGTATATAGTAAAGGCCCACAGTTTGCTAAATTTTGCAGTTAAGCAAAATTGTGCAAGTAAAATTTAACTACAGTTGTTATTTCTCCACTATCCAATAGCAATGTTTTTCTAAGCTATTCTCTACTGCAGATGGTTTTCCATGATGAATAGGAATTTCAAATAATATAATCTGTTCTCTACTATTCCCTAACATTTGTTACATGTATCCCATATGAAAAGATAGGAAGAAAAAAAAGTTAATTATTTGCAAAGCAAATGCAAACAAGTAATCTGATCTGTGTAAGGAAACTGTACTGGAAGAGAAACAGTTAACAGCCATTAAACTTCTTAATACATGTAAACTAATCCCCTAATTCAAAAAGTGCCTCTCATCCCTTTTTTGAAGATCAAAAAGAAAACTCTCTTACTGTATGTTTGAAATCAGTGGGAACAGGTGTGGATTCTGGATAGGTATGCAGATGAAAAGGTATAATTACCTAGCTAGTCCACTTCCGAATTAGGGGATCTGAATTCCCATCAAGAAGAAACATTTCAATTTTATAACTTTTGTAACTAAGTGTCTTATTAATGAAACAAAGCTTAACACACATTAGTATTTACATCAACTATTAGTACTGGCTAATATCTGTGCCCTTTCTGCAGCAGGATATCATTTTCCAGTGGTAATTTCATGCAAAATATAATTCAGGCCAAACATCAGTTACAAACACTGTACAATATAAGAGAAACGTATAAGCTAACCCCAGAGCCTGGTTTTCCAGGCTACAGTGATCTTCCAGTGTAGTGTCCTGTAATCTGCCAGTGGTGCAGATTATCATTCCAGGTTGGACAATCAGGGCAAGAGCTAGCCTAGCT